CAAAGACTTAAACTACTTCAGTCTGTGTGCATTGAATTTATTTAATACACGAGTTTCACAATTTGAGTTGAATTACTGAAATAAATGAACTTTTCCACGACATTCTAATTTATTGAGATGCACCTGGACATTATGTATGTATGTTATTATAGGCTATATTTCAACACTCACTTTAACACAGCACATACTGTAACAGTGAGTCTCTGGACCGTTTCTTCTTTATTGCCCAAGGGATCCTGGGCCTAAAAAAAAAGCCTCTAATGGTTATACCATACTGTATTCCAAAAATCTGGGGTCAGTAAGATTTATATATTTATTTATTTTGAATTAATGTGTAGTTTTATGTAGCAAAGCTGCATTCATTTCATCAGAAGTGACAGTAAAGACATTATAAAAGATTTCAGTTTCAAATAAATGCTGTTTTTTTTTAACGTTCTATTCAACAAAGAATTCCAAAAACTGTTCCACAAAAATATTAAGCAGCACAAGCAACTGTTTTTAACAGTTTTTAAATCAGCATATTAGAATATTTCCGAAGGCTAATTTGTTACTGAAGACTGAAGTAACGACTGCTGAAAAGTCATCTTTGCTATCACAGGAATAAATTATATTTTAAAATATATTACAATAGGAAATAATGACAGTTCTGCTTTAAGTTTAAAATTCTAAAAAATTCTAAAAAATCTCATTTGTTTTCTAGGAAACATGTAAATACCTTATGTAGCTTCTAAAGGACAGACAAATAAAATAAGAAAAATGTACACATCAACATCCTGTTTAAAAGTTTACACTAACCCATCATAGCATAATAAAGTGTGTTAGCCTATTATCCACAGCCACAGCAAGTTCAACCACAATAAGCCTCCTCAACTGTGAACTTCAATTTAGGAAAGATCAGAATAAGATTATCCTGCATGTCATGGGACCGTGAGGTGTGTTTTTGACATTACCCGGTCTGAAGGACTGTCCTTATAACCTTACTCAGGGAGGACAAGAGTGATGGTGTCTCCTAGTGGTCATGTGATGAATCCGCTGTAAAGGTATAATTCAACCAAAAATGGCAATCCTGTGATTATTTACTAATCCTCATGCTGTTATTTCTTTTATTGCATAGAAAACAGCTACATAAAATATGTCCTTTTAGAGCATGCCGGTTTGAAATAAGTGAATTAAATAATGAAAAATATTTTTGCATGAACTATCCCAACAAAATTATCTATAATTAAACAGTAAATGTGTAATTATGTGTAGTAGCATACAAAATGCGGCGAGACGGAATGAAACGACAAAAATTTGGTTTATTCTCGCCTGGGCAGACAGCAAAACTTAAGAGGGGAAACAACAGTTCTTAGGCAGCTTTGCAGGTATTATGTGAGGATTTGAAAAAGCTCTTATGTGGAGGGGTGCGTGGAAGTGGAAGGTGGAGGATCAAAAGTGCGGCCTGTAGGTCACGTAACCGACATCACTGCCAGGCTGTTGGCTTGACACTGGCTAAAGACATCATAATAGGTTTTAAGTACTAGGAAAGACCTTGGGGTGAAGACTTAACATGACTAAAGCCCAAGCGGAAGTAAACAAACACCGAGAGGTGAGACTGTGTGACGTTCTAGTAATTCATTTAGCAGTTTGATTCAACTCACTTGAGTAACTTGGCTGATGAATTTCAGATGGTGGCGCGACAGTATAAGTATGCTTTGTTAATCTTCTGATTTAATTGACCTTTGGTGTGAATAGGAAAGTCTGCTCTTTGTGACAGGTAATATGAGCACTCTAAATCCTTCAGAGCGAATGACTGTCAGGGTTTGGCATTTCTTTTACAGCGGGGACAAGGAGACGTGAGCCCAGGGCAATATCAACCATGTTGACACCATGGAGATTGTTCCTCTGCCAGATGGCACTGAACATATTCTATCACATCGCTAAAGGTAAACACCTCTCTAAAATCAGGATCTGCAAAGGCTAATTTTCATGAATCACTGCTCCGTGGTAATATATGTGCCAGACATGGTTATGAGGTTGTGGAAATGATAATGAGTCTTTGAATGATCTCTTCGAGTCATGAGAGTTCTGATTCACTCAGCCTATCAGAAAGAAAAGTCACAAGTGAGATTCAATTGTTTTTTTTTCTTGACAGAAATTGGAGAAATGGAGAGCAAATGAGACTCTTGCATAAAGCAAACATTAAACTGTGTTCACGACTGATTTTTACTTTCATTACATGACAAATGTCAGGATATTCGACAACCAAAAATTGTAGGGACTTGATTTTATACATCAGAATTGATTGTGCCCCAAGTGTTATGCAAAGGCCCAAGTCAAGGGCCTCATGATGTGTGTTTGTGGCCTTGTGGCTTCCGCTTGCCATCTTTATAAGATCGTAGTAGGGATGCACGATGTTATCGGACCAATATCGGAATCGTCAAAAATTATGCCGATATGTCTTGCCGATAAGACGAATACATTAACTCACATGTGCTCAGGGTGTGCTAGTCAGCATTTAATTATACGTCAGCATTGTGGCTCATTCTTGAAGCAAAGTTTTGCCTGAATAGTGTTTAGATTCACGGTTTTGGATCGCTGCATTTAAACTTGAAAATGCACATACAGAATGACGTGTTTGGTGTGTGATAGAGTAAACAGTAATAGCACGTGCAGCAGCAGCCTCCCTCGGGTCCTAATGCTGGCTCAATATGGAGTATAGGGGCGCTGTTGGCCTACTTCTAATAAAATGAAAGCAAAATACATAAAATAAAATGTTAAGATTACCACTGCATCTTTCTGAAAAAAAAACAATGCAGTGATTAATATATATAGTTTATTTATAGTTATTTTCAAATCTTCAATGTACTGTCATTATAAAATAACGTAATATTGTTTATTTCATTCTAACAAATAAGTTCTTGTTAAAAACTAACCAAAATTAAAAATAATTATATATCGGTATCAACATCGGCTATCGGCCAAAATGAGTTGAAAATGATCGGTATATCGGATATCGGCAAAAATCCAATATCGTGCATCCCTAGATCGTAGAGCATCCCATTTGTTATTTTACATTCGGGAATGGGAGAAGTTAAAAAAATAGGAGGGATTGGTGACATTACCTGGAAAAAGAAATATGTTTCAGATGTGGTACAGGTTGTTATTTGCATCTTTATCATGTATTAAAAACAGAAACCATATTTTCTTGTCACAAAATGTGCACAGATTTGCCTAGATACCAAAGTCTGCAACCAAAATTAAGAGATTTCAATATGAGCTATGAAGTTTCTCATCAAATATCTCAGACCAACTTATATGGACAGTCTGCATTAATTTTATAATTTTGTTCTGTTATATCAACAATTGTTTGAATATAATATTAATTTAGTGAATTTAATTTTGTACATTAATATGAATATTAAATGGAATAGTTAATGAAAGTGTTAATTCTGAATTCTGAGAAAACAAGGCAGAATTGCAAGGTGTTAACTTATATTAACTCGATTAACTCTTCTAATAAAAAGTCAGAATTGGGAGCATTACTTCAGAATTTGAAAAAAAAAAGTAAGATTTGTGTTCATTTCAAATTCTGAGAAAACAAGTCAGAATTGCAAGGCGTCAAGTCAGAACTGTAAGGTATTAACTCAGAATTCTAAAAAAAGAATCAGATTCGTGAGCTGTTAATTCCGAATTCTGAGAAAACGAGTCAGAATTGCGAGGTGTTAAGTCCGACAAAGTACTGTGTGTTATAAACTCACAAAGTCTCAATTCCAAGATGTTAACTCACAACTGCATATAATAGATATAAACTTAGAATAAAGTCAGAATTGTGAGAACAACCCTGATGCAGGAATAGTTGGGCAAAATCCAATACGTTACAATTATCCCTGCTCTCCCCTGCTATTACAAAGGTGTTGTTTTATAAATTAGCTTTGCAGTCTGTGATTTTATGGATGATTTGTGTTGTCCTCATAATCTAATCAGTCTCTCATCTGAACGGCAGCCAGTTTATGCCTTGGTGGTCAAGACATATTTGCCACGGTCCGAGAGAACAGTCCCACTGGAGAGATCATAGCCCACCTCAGTATCAACGGAGACCCTGGAGCCAGTAGCATCCGCCTGTGTCTCACAGGAGAAAACGCTGACTGGTTTTACCTTGAAGGCCGAACAATCCGACTCAACTCGTCGTTTTCAAGGATCTTAGATCGAGAAGTGATTAACACGAGTAGTGGCTGTTAGCATGTGGAGGGAAGCCAGAATAACACTGAAGCATTAGGACTGCCAGCCAACACAGTGGAGGAGTTTTAAGCCATAGTTTGGGGTTTTAAAATAGAATGTCTATAAATTACAAATGTTATAAGTTATATAAACTCTATTTTACCAGATTCGTTTGTTGAGACTAGGGCAAAATAACACAAAACTTTACAACGATAACCAAAATGAGCATAAAACAAGAGACGACATTAAAATACAATCAAAATACATACATTTCTTGAATGTTTTTTTACATTTTTTGTTTTTTGTATAAAAATAGTTTAGTCCAAAAATAGTATAGTTTTTTGGGTAACACTTTAGTATAGGGACAATTCTCACTATTATCTCATCATAATTGCCCTTTGCAAACTCTGACAGGCTGCGCAGGTGAACGATCCAAAGAAATATTCGGTGGCGACGGCACTGGTGCATGTGGTGTCAGAGAACCGATTTCCTCCATTCTTCAACAAGACTGTCTACAAAGGGTTCCTCATTGAGAGCTCCAGCCCTGCCACACTGGTCACTACCTACGGGAACCAAGTCCTGGTAGTCCAGGCCATTGACAGGGACTTCAGAGATGTAGAGCGAAAACATTTCCTTTATAGGAAGCACTTTAAAAATGCCTGCAAATCTTCGTTTATGGTATTTTCTCTTTTTTTGCTCTTTTGCAGGGAATAAATCCAAAAATCCATTACACAATGCAGCCCTTGACGGGTAGCAATAAACTGTACCACATTACCCAGGATGGCATTGTGATTGCAAAGACGGACCGACTCAGAGCATTCGACCGACACATCCTGGAGGTGACAATTATGATATGATCTATATTAGGGTTCGGGAACCTTTTTTTGACCAAAGAGCCATCTTAAATGCCTCTGATTGGCCATTGCCTTCAAGAAATCAACAGATATGTCTGTGATTGTCTACGCTGCTCAATGCTGCAAAAACACGTTATTAAATAGAAACCTTTGATGCACTTTCAGAGCGCGGACACAACTACTCACTAGAGTGCTATGCTATTATTACAGCTTCAACTGAGGGTGTTAGTACCTCTGTAAAACCAGGCCTGGTTTGCAAAGTGTGTAGGCACAAAGCAAATGGATTTTTGTGTAGGTAATTCATCTAAATTGTTCTAGGTTGAACTATCTTGTATTGGTGATCTAGTCTATTTCAGTTATAATACGGGTTGTTATCGTTTAGGTGAATGTCTGTTTGTCACACTGCTTCACAATTGAAGCAGCAGACATGTCAAGTTCCTCACGGGAATTGCATTTAGGGTACGCAGACTGCGAAGTCCTAAGCACAGACTCGCTGACTTAAGCTTCATGAGGAATCTTCACTCGACCGTCGGTACAGAACTTACCTGTAGTTACAAACACACTGAGCTCGAGAAAGAATTCAACTGATATATGAGACTGAAGGCACGAATCTTTAGAACATGTATCATTGAGACATCACTGAGACTGGCTGTGTGTGTTAACACACTAATTTTTGAATGGATTATTTATTGGTAAAGGGTGAGAGTGTGGCTCGCGAGCCATTGGTTCCCGACCACTGATCTACATGATATGCCTTATAGCAATACATATTTGTCATAACATCGCTGATGATGTGATGCTTTTTTTTAATCAAAGGTGATTGCAACAGATGAAGAGTCAGGTGAAACAGCCCATGCTTCAGTGGATATTGAAGTGCTGCAGAGGGGACAACCAGGTAAATGCACTTAAGGGCATTAATTGTGTTAATCTTGAGGTTTCTTTAATATTAAGATTATGTAACTACAGTTAACTCTCCATTGTATGAATTATGTTTTAACAGTGAATATTTTTTTTTTATATATATATTTTTTTTTCTTACATTAAAGTGATAAAACAAAAGTAAAGAGTTACCTTTTGAAAAATGAATTATGTTTTAACAGTGAATATTTTTTTTTTATATATATATATTTTTTTCTTACATTAAAGTGATAAAACAAAAGTAAAGAGTTACCTTTTGAAAATAAAATAAATTTCAATAAAATTTTGGAATTTGGAATCTGATCTTCACCTGAACAACTCATGTTTCTTATATGAATATTGATATATTATTGATATACAACACCTATAAATTAAAATGACAACCAACTTGAAAAAGTTATCTTTTGAAAATAAAATAAAATAAAATATTGCAATATGGAAACTGTGTACTACAATAAATGTCTTCTTTAATTCAGTTAATATTTCTTGAATATTGATACATTATTGATAAAACTCCTATAACCTGAAATTACATGAATCGTTATCATTTATCCTTATTGCTTCTAAAAATTATGTTTATCCTCATTGTTATAATCAATCATGCATCTATGCCAATTCTGTCCATTCTTTTAGAAAACATAAAAACAAAAACATTAAAATTGATTTAAGTTATGAAAGATGGAAAGAAAAATCCAAATGTAGAAGAAATGTTTTTAATGAGGTGCAATTCTTCAGTATGTGTCATTCAGGTGAGAAATAAAATAAAATTTTGCCATGTATGGCAACACTCTGCCATAGAGGGTCAAACCAAATATGGATAATAGTTTACACAGATCATTCGTCTGGTAAATTTGATTATTCATGGTTGATTTAAGAGGCACAAATAAGGCGTTAAATTAGATTTAGCCTCATTGTATTCCCATTAACCTCTGTGCTCCTCCAGCTCCTCACTGCCCAATTTTTGGCAGTCGTTCAAAGCCAAACTAAATAATAAATCTCTTGGAGGTGTAAGACACAGAACTGACCACTAAAAAGTCTTTGTGAGCGGTTTGTAATTTTTTTTCCACTTCTAAACTCTCGGACAGTTCCCAGAAGTCCATTCGGTGAGGAACGTCTGTTTGGAGATATGAACGCAGGGATGGCCGGCGGCATCGCTGCCCTTGTTCTGCTAGTGGCTGTGACAGTACTATTTATCTTCCTCTGGCTGGCCAAGAGACGGAGAGAGAGACGGGATCCAGCAAACAGGGGCGCAGTAGCTCTTGGGAAACACCCAAATGTGGTAAGAGCTACTATATTTTATCAATCATACCAAGTTGTACCCTTTAGTCCCTTTGTGCATAAACACTGATGGAAACCTAGCTGCTAAGACGAGATGTAAAATTTACCATTAAGACATTTGGCTATTTTGACTGAACTGGGCACTATGATAATCTCCCATTTTTTAATGAATCTACAAGTGGCTTGTCTCGTCTTCCCTGTAATAGTAATAGTACGAAAGGAACTAAAAGCAACACCAGCTGAGCTCACATCCTCGCTGAGCATATGCTACAGTCTCAGAAAGTTCATCAATGCCTTTTTTTAACAATAGCAGGAGAAATATAGAACACATGCATATGTGCAATAAAATGTCTCACTGCTTTAGTGCATGATGACCGTATCTGACCTACAGATGTTGAAGCAAGACTTTTGCACTAAACAAGGAAATACCACATAATAATTAAACTCTTGATTGGAGGAACATTACTGTATCATCAAGAAAAAACAGACTTAAGCATCATTTACAGTCAGAAATTTAGAAGAAACACTTCCTGCCCTTGTCGTTTTCCCCTCACATTCCTTTTTAATTCCTCTTATGTAGAGCTTAAGATGGTTTCAGCAGGTAAGCACTTGACATTAAGTAGCTAGACGTGTTCTGCAGTGTCACTGTCCCTTGTGAAGGTGAGATGTATTTTCTGAGTATCTGAAAGCCGTATACTACCGAAAGGCTGGTTTAAATGGGATTGTCGGTGTTACAGTTTATCAGAAACATGGTGCACCATTTAAGCTGGTCAAGTATACAAAGCACATCCCCCTGTGTTTGATGGTTTGGTATGTTTCACTGTGTATTTGATTGGTCAGTGGCTGCTATCATGTAGATAGGCGTTTTGTATCTATGTATGTGTATTTTGTGTTACATATTTACGTTTAATAAACACTGTTGGAAATGTAGCAATTGTTAATTGTGTTTATCGATTGTTTATTGACTCTTGAGAGATGAGACAAAATGCCACACTTTCACCTACCATTAGTTAACAGTGAAGATAATCACTATGTTCTGTACCATTTCATTTACTGTTTACTTGATCGCTAATATAAAATAAGATAGTTAGATAATTTAGTTAGATAGATTTAGATAATTTCATTCATTTTGAGGAGGTCTGCTAACTAGCAACACCATAAAAACAAATGAACACATGCATGGTTTAATACAGCATGATGGTAGCAACAGTTCAATAGATGGAACTGAAAATCTGTTATTGTTCTATGTATATTATATTTCTAATAATAGTTTGACGCTATGTTTGCAAACGTCTATTATAAATATTTGACATAACAGTTTATATACATTTTTTTTGTCTGACATTGTGCATTACAGCCAGGAAAAAAAAGAAAACATTTTAAAATCAGCCAATATTAAAATGATTAAGGTCTTCTCTTTCCATATTCTAAGGCCATACAGGCAAAATTTATTTTATTTTATTTTATTTTTATAATGCAAACATCTATTATTAGTATAGTAGTCAACATTTGAAGTGGATCAAAACCTTAAACCAAAATGCGTTCTTGTCTTAGGACAACTTTGATGAACTTTTTTGATCCAATTCAAATGCTGACTACTGTATTTGACATAACAGTTCATAATTTTTTCTAATGTTGTGCATTACAGTTAGAAAAACAACAACTAATTTTGTGAGAAAATAAGCAGGACGTTGCACCAAAAAGATTGATCCCAAATAATTCCCTGTAGTTTTGTCCCATGTCTCAAGAATCAGTGACACACATAACTACTCTATAATCAGCGCTGGACTTCAGCAGTGGATTTGACCAGTGAATATGTCACAGTTGATCGAGGCAACCCTAAATGCCCTTTCTCCGTGGTCAACAGGTCAATTCAGGACATCCCATGTCGCTCATAGAGGATGCCTCCTACCACAACGAGGCATTCATTGACCATGAATACCCCAGTGATTTGTACACCAAAACAGATGACATGCTTCCTGCGTCAATCAGGGCATATGAGTCTGAAAGGCCCATGGCACTGCAAGACATGCTGCCCATCCTGGTGCTTCCAGAAATAATACCCGCAAACACCTCATCTTCAGCTCTGACCAATGGGAAAGCATTTGGAAAATCAGTCTCTTTTAAAGACGACGTAGGAGCAGCGGAGGAGACTTTGCCCAAAAATGAAGGACAAATTGTAGTTGTATGTAATCAAATAGAAACCAGAGCAGATATTTTGATGCCTGTCATGCAGCAGGACACTTTTGCTACCGCTACAGCAGAAAATCCTGCAGAAAAGTTGGACGTTTGTTGCCCAGATACTTCTGTAAGACCCAGAGAGGAATGTATCTTCGCTCATGCTAATGAGGATGATGAAGATGACAATGATCCATACAAGAACATGGCCTCTGTTATTTACAGCAGTGATGAAGACACGGGGCACGACGAGCCAAATGATTTAAGGCACTATTACAAACATGGGCAAAACCAGTTTACAATTGACCACATGAAGGCCATCGGATTACAAATCGAGGATTCGGATGAATCACAAGCCTGATTCGTCAAGCTCATTTGAACAAGTCGCTTTCATGAAAAGCCAAATCCTTACAAGTTTAAACAAAGCGAAAATAGCAACAAACAAACAAAAAACAGGCTCATTAATAGGACATAAATATGTATTATCAAACTCTACAGTTGGTTGAGCACCTGCTTTTCAAATTTTTTTTTTTATATTCCATGTTTTCCTCATGTTGAACTGGTACAGAAATACACAGACAATACAGTGCACCTGATCAGTCTTAATTAAGAATCAGTTTAAATGAAGTTTTGATGACTGTGTCGTTGAAAAATTAAGATCTTATAGTCTGCAACAAACAAACAAAAAACAGGCTCATTAATAGGACATAAATATGTATTATCAAACTCTACAGTTGGTTGAGCACCTGCTTTTCAAATTTTTTTTTTTATATTCCATGTTTTCCTCATGTTGAACTGGTACAGAAATACACAGACAATACAGTGCACCTGATCAGCCTTAATTAAGAATCTGAAACTAAATTCATTAAGTTTAAATGAAGTTTTAATGACTGTGTCGTTGAAAAATTAAGATCTTATAGTCTGTTTTTGAATATTTCATCCACCTCTAATGTATTTTTAAGATATTCTGACTGAAATTGAGGTCAAACCCTGAAAATGAAGTATGTATTGTAACTAAATTATTTTTTTAGACTTTAATGTTCTGATTACTGATGTCTGCAGTCACTTGTTGAGTTAAAAATACTCGAACACAAAAGGTTGAAATAAACTGTAATTTTCCAGTTAGTATTTAAATAATAAATACAAGTTGGAGAACACAATACTCTGTGCCAAAACTGATGCATTGCCATGTTTAACTTAAACAAAAGCTAAATGCTATTGAATAGTCTGCTGCAACATATTGCATTTGTTATTTGAATTTGATGATTCGATGATATTCAGGTGCTTCAGGACTTCTGGAGATCCTGTGAAATGGCTCTATACATTATTCTGGAGCTAAAATATAAAATTTCAGAGCATTTTTCTTTTGGAAAACATCTTGGATTCTACACAGTAGAGTCTTTGTTGAGGTAAAACTGCTCAAATTGTTTTGACAAGGGTGCAAAGTTCATCTTTTACTTGAAATATCATATAATAGCTGCATGTAAAGCTCTGATGTGTCATTTCTCTGTTTGTCTGCAGGAGGCATCATCACCCATCGCTCCTCGCCATGTGTTGTAGGACTAAATCAGCAGCATCACAATCATATTTAAGAAAACTCTATTTCTAGAGGCACATGCAATCAAGATATCTGTGTCAGGACCAAGAACATTGTGAGAGACACATGGAGGTGAACATACAAATATTTGTAAACAGCTGTTTTTGTGGCATTTTGTGTAATTCTGGATAGTTTTGGTTTTGTGTGGAAGGATACAGGGGAATACAGTCCTATGAGCCCTGGTCATGGCAGCTTATATGTTGAAATATGTATGAACTTTTGGAACTTTGTCTGAAGCAGTTAAGTTAAAAAAACATATTCATTTAAATATCACTATACTGCATATACTGTAAAAAACAAAACTGAGGTTGGTAGGATTAAAAAAATGTTTTTTTGAAAGAAGTCTTATGCTCAACAAGGCTGAATTTATTTGATCAAAACACAGTAAAAACAGTAATGTGATGTTTTCTATTTTATTCTATTTCTATTTTATTATAAAATGTCATTTATTGCTGTGATGGCAAAGCTGACTTTTCAGCAGCCATTAATCCAGTGGCACATAATCCTTCAAAAATAATTATAATGTGTTGATTTGGTGCTCAAGAAACATTTCTTATTATTATCAATTTTGAAAACAGTTGTGTTGCTTAATATTTTTGTGGAATTTTTTTAAGGATATCTTATTATTATCAATCTTGAAAACAGTTGTGTTGCTTAATAGTTTTGTGGAACTTTTTTAGGATTTCAGACATCTTTTCAGATATTGTAAATATCTTAAATGTAATTTTTTATGTTCTTTTTTCCCCTAATAGTAAATCCAGCCATATCATAAATCATAATACTACGTATGTATCACAGTGCTTGATGGTAGCATATATTGAATGTGTCTTGTCATTTGTCATAAGGAGACTGTGATGCAACAAAGCAACAGAAAACTATTTTTAACAAAAAACACAGATCAGAAATATATACATTAACTAAAACCTGTAAATTTTGGGTTCACCAAAAAAGAACAACACCCTTTTGTTGTTCCAAAGTTGTATGACTTGCTTTTTTTCTGGGCAATGTTCATGCTGCTCTCTTCCATACAATGAAAGTGGGTCAGGAGCACCTAATTATGCACTATATTCCAAGTCCTCTGAAGCCATTATGGTTCTCTGTGTTAAACAGAACTGGGCTATTTGAAATGTGCTGCACACTGAAATGTGCTATTTGGTGAAAATCTTGCCTTTAAAATCTCAACAACATAATTAATTTTATAGCTGGGATTTGTGCTGTCTTGTGAAGTGTGATCACAAGAGGGTGCCATTAGACCATTTTCCTTCTGTTACAGCTTATTTATTGCTGCGGCGTGAAGTAAAAGTTTAACAGTTGACGCACAAAAATGCCACATTGGACAGCGGCAACATGACGGATGTCCGGTAACGTGCTATTACTAAACATGTTTGTGGCTAGAAGGGATACAGCTACGGCCGGAAAATAACAATAAAGTAAATTTGCTACCTATCACATTCTGTTTTATTATCGTATACACCTACCCCAACCCTAAACCTACCTCTTACAATAATCCAAATACAGTAATTATTGTTGTTCAGCGTGGCAAAAATGAGGCAGCTGTATCCCTTCTAGACTCAACCACTACACATCTGCATGCCTATAGGCTACTTCAAACCCTCGAAAAGTAAGTTCTTAAAAAGAACAACAATTGTAGTAAAACAATTTACTACTTGCTAAATATGTCAATATAATGCAAATACATAAAAAGGCATTTGAAATTTGTGACCTTCTAAATGCTTTTGTCAAAGTTTAGGACCACACACAGTTAGCCTATATAACAGATGATAACAAATGGATGAAAGCCCCCTGATAACACGTACATCACGGAGACGTCTATTTGACGTCTGCATTTACATCTGCAAGACATACTTTTTAGTGTTTGCTCATCTGTCTATCGGACGTTTCCTATCAGATGTCAAATAGACGTTAAGAACATGTCTTTAAAATGTTTATGATTTAGAATGTATGTAAAACTGACATCTTATAGGCTATCTACAGTCTATCAGATGTTCGTACACAGCAGATGATGAAACGATCTTTATCAGACATTTTGCAGACGTACTTGTGCTACAGAGTCCAATTTTGATTTTATAAGGTCTTTGATGGTTTCAAGTTAATGTGTTGACACTTAATAAACACAAAAACGATGCAAAACACATCTTTGTGTTTATTGTCGGACAAATGTTTGAACATTTGAATGGGAACACAGAAAACTTTCTGAATTTTTACATTCTCCAAAAAAACAAAACAAAACAAAAATTTTGTATGATTTATAAACTTGTTTCCCAATGGGGACCTAAATCAAGTCCCCATGAGTCGGTGTGTGTGTATCGGTCCCCACCCACCCACACACACACACACCGACTCATGGGGACTTGATTTAGGTCCCCATTGGGAAACAAGTTTATAAATCATACAAAATTTTTGTTTTGTTTTGTTTTTTTGGAGAATGTAAAAATTCAGAAAGTTTTCTGTGAGGGGTAGGTTTTGGTGTACGGTTGGTGTAGGGCGATAGAATATACAGTTTGTACAGTAGAAAACCCATTACACCTATGGAGAGACCCCACAAAGATAGTAAATCAGACTTGTTTGTGTGTGTGTGTGTGTGTGTGTGTTGCATATTGAGACAGTTCCTCGAGGTTTCATCATTAGTTTGTTCTGCTCAGCTGACCGTGATTGCTTGACCTGATACACTCATACGATAACATACAGTCACTTCGCTGCTCACTTATATATAGTAAATACCCATTGTCACTACATACAATTTAGAATTTTATAAATTGTATGGAGTGACAATACAAATTTAAATTTTTTGGAATTAGAACATTTAAAAAAGGTACTCTGAATTATATTTAATGTCGGAAGCCAGAAGTATTGAGATCATACGTGAATATGTATGATGTGCACAATAGCATGAAGCTGTAATGATGTTTTTTGCTTGAGTACTTCTGTATGTCTCTTAATTCTCTCATGCACATGGACTTTGACAGACTGCAGAGAAATGCTGCCTAATGTGAGGGAGGACATGGACGGAACAGGCTGTGAATCAGACATACACATCCTGAACACACACACACACAGAGTGCCATGGCTTAATCAGCTAATAGTGGTGAGTGGGAATGTTTCATGCTTGTAGTGCTGAATTAATTTCAACATTTTCACAGCTGAGATCTTTTGGTCATTTTCAGTGAAGCAGATCGCTCTTGGTTGTAGACACCCTCATGACTCAAAAATGCACACAGTTACACGACCGCATAAGCAGTGCATTTTACAAAAACACAATACCATCACAGCAAATCACGACACAATTTAAAGGAAAATTAATTCAATGAGGACAGCCTTTTTTATTTTATTTTAAATGCTTATATTAGTTCTTCCATACAAAATTGTGTGCTATGAACTGTAAAGTTGTCTTAGCGGTAGACTACTAATTGTTATAGGTGGATTAACTGCTGGTTTTTTCCAGGTAATCATGTCAGTAGTTGGACAACAATGCTAGTAAGTGATTTTGTCACACTAGTTCAGTGTTAACATATACAATATCTGGTGATACTTGGTTTTAACGTTGTTTCCGGTGTAATCCCTACTGAAAAAAAAACCCCCTGCTTAAACCAGTTAAAGTTATTTCCTGAGCTGGTTTAAGCTGGTCTCCCAGCCCTGAGCAAACTGACGGTTAGCTGGTTGGCCCTAAAACCAGCCAACAAACCAGCTTAACCAAAGGGGTTTAAGCAGGGATGCCTTGCCGCATAGACTTAAATTGTAAATATGTCATTGTACTCATGCTTTTTGCTTGTTTTTACAAATTGAAGGATGAGTCAAAATGGCGATTGTGAATATATAAAGTTGAGCTTGGTGGAAGTTCATGTTTAAGTTTATTTATAAAGCACATTTAAGAAAAAAAAAATGTTATACCAAAGTGCTGTACAATCTATACAAATGGAATATCTACAAAATCAAACAAAAAATGTGTTAAATAATAAACTACTAAACATTATAAACATAAACATAAAACCCCAAAAAATCTCAAATAACATCCAAAGCAACGGAGAAAAATGTGGCTTCA